CGTGAACAGTTCATTTATTATGCGGTTAGTTATCGCGCCTTTTCGTCTGATTTCCCTGCCAACAATGCGCCGTCACCGTCACCGTCGCGTCGCAGACAGCTCACCGCACCCGCGCTGCTTCTTAGGACCAACGTCGGGTTTCTCTTTCCACGACGCGTTTTCTCATCCGCCACTCTAAGTGACGTTCACCGACGACGAGCCATACGTCACACCTCCTCCCGGCGACGTTTTCATCCCCCTGTTCCACGCTCGCATTCACCTTACCGTACCCCTTTTCTACACCCCTCGTTTTTTCTTCGCGTCGAGCCGCGTCGTCGTTCCACGATTTTCTTCCTTCTTCCTCTCGCTCCGGGGGTTCTTCCCCCGTTTTCTTGCTCGATTCGTCCACGCCAGGTTGGTCGCCGAACCGAGAATCGCGTCGCGTTTGACTTACGAGTCTGCTCGGTTCATATATTTCTCAAAATCGTGCCTCGCCGTAGAGAAAACTATTCGCCAGTGGTGTCTGATCGTGGATCGTACCGATCGTTCCTTCGGTCGCCTACGATCTTTTTTAGTCTAACGTTAAACACGCAGTGCCGAAGGCTAAAGGCTCGAACGACTCGTTTCTCGATATGTGCATACTCCGTAACGGTACGCGCGCATCGGAACCGTCGAGGTCGAAGCTTTCCCGTTAGCCAGCCTCGCCGTTGGCATTTTTTTACGGGCAGCACCGAGAAAAATCGTGGGCCGCGCGCGAATCGTGAGCAACGGAGAAGAAGAGATCCTAGGCTAGAAGAAAGTCGGCGAACGGCGAGTGATGGATGAACGTTTCACGGGGACGAGAGCCACGGCGAGCTGACATGTTTATACGAAACGGGCTGTCTGTAAAGGTGGCCTCGTAGCTTTGCTTTCCCGGCTCCTCTTTTGTATCGCACGTATCTCAAGCAAGCCGTTCTCCCGCGTCTCTTCTTCTTGGTCAACGAAATGGGGAGCTTGAACGAGAAATAATACAGTCGCGTGATTAATTAAACGCGACGCGTTCGCCCACCTACGAAGATCTCCCCCCCCCCTCTCTCTCCTTCTCTCATCGGATCGTTTACTACTCGCCATTGTCCCTCCTACATCGTCGGTCAAAAGTTTTTAAACTGTTTGAAGTCAAACATTAATTTTTCTTCATTTCTAAATTCGTGCCAGAAAAACAAACAAAATATTCTTTCGTGAATTCTCAGATCAATGCGATTACGAATCCTCTTCATATGATATTTTCTTCTTACTTGAATTACGAGAAATAATTGATAAACTTTTGGCGGATGGTGTACAAATCCGGTTGGCTATGAAGCAGCTATGATCTCTCGCATAATAATGACGTATTCTGCAACGTTACAACGATAGGAGTTTCTGAGAGGAATGCTGTTAGGGAGTTTACATTATACGTTTTGATACGACGCGAATTACAGGCAGAGTTTAGTAAAGATTAGATTTAGGAGAAACTTGGATGGTACTTGGATCCGTGGAATTTGCATTTAATATGATCCATGGAACGTGATATAAAATCAAACATCGTACACACGCGTATAATAGTTTTTGTCGCAGAGTCGACAGAGGGTAGACGATCGTCGAGCAAACACGAACTGTTTGAGCATCGGTGTGTATTTAGCCCGTTTGTCGAGTCGACGGATCACGAGTGTCCTCTCGAAACTGTCCATAATACTTTTACCAGTTCTTTAAACGTGGTGTCTGATTATTTCAATCTGTTCCACCGTATGAATTTTCAAAGGGAAGCGCGTAATTAACCGAGGACGATTGGTGTTTCCCAGCAGAAGCCTTTTTCGCGAAGCAGCGAAATAACGCAACCGTAACTTCTGCCCCTCGTTGGGCGGCGCCAGTCTTCGGCATGAATAGAAAGCACCTTTAATTAAAAAGGAGAACTTACGATTTCGAACGAGTCGCGGTCGTAACGCGTCCTCGTATCTCTCTGGCCAACGTTCCGAATTGAAAATCTGTTTAAACAACGTTGGCAATCCGAGAGAGACCTCCCCTTCCATTTCCGAAATCTTCTCTTTAACGCATAACGGATCTATTTACTCGACTTTTGAGGAGCATGCTCGGTTAGAGTTCCCGAGTTTAAATCGCGACCAAACCGGGACGAATGGGACGGGGCGGAGGGGATTCCTCTAGGTGACCGAATTCCCTCGGGAGTCGAGCGACGAAATTTCGCTCGGAATATGAATAAATTTATCGAAAGCCCGAAGACAGTCGAGCGTGGCTGACGCGACGGGGGTGGTCTCGATGGAGGGCCAAATGGTGGTCTCCGAGGCGAGATGGAAGGGGTTTGGGGGGCCAAAAAGAGTTTGAAACTGCTCGGGCACCCCTATATTATAAATATCAGCCATGAAAGATGGCGCAGACAGCAGCAGGGAGGCAATGGGTCCGGGGGTACGGCTGGGTAAAGGAGTGGAACAGAACCGGAATTAGCATAATCAGAATAATTTCCACCAGCTGACAGCGCCCTCATTCTTTTTCCTGCGACGCGATTCTTTCCGCTGCTTTATTTTCCGTTGTTTTCCGCCTTCCGCCGCTCTCCATCCTTTTCCCCGTTTTTCCTTCTCTCCGGCTCCGTTTCTTGCTCCTTTCTTTCCCGAATTCTCGGCCACTCTTCGATGCGTTCCACTTCGACCGGAAGAACTAACGGCCACATTTTCCTACGCTTTTCTCCCCTTCCACCGTCCGTCGAGAACGTCGATTCTTCCGCCCCGGTACTTCTGTTTTTAAAAACGCATCCGAGCATTTTCTCCCGGCTCGTCCATCTACGCGTCAAATAATTTCATTTTCCTTATCGTCTACTCGTTAATTACGATCGACTTTATTAGAAAAAATCGTGTTTCACAGAGAATTCATCTGTTCATTGAGAGACGTTTACGGTAATTATAAACAGATCATAACACGGATCGCGTGCACGGCAACGTAACTTATCCCGTAGCTGGCGTTTCGCTGATCTTTATTCATTCTTACGCCTCGCCCATTTCAATTTTTCTACAGTTTAGCCGCAGGTCGAAGCGACCGGCTACGTTTACTCAATAAATTTTTCGTAGCTTCCAACGTTTTAGCCCTCCCTTATGGCGGTTGCCAGACGCCGGGCGCTGTGCCGATTTAACAATCCCCGTGGAAGGGTTAACGCATCTTCCTTTTCCTTCGAGACGTCCCTACGCCAGTCTCCACTGGCAGAGTCTTTTAACTTCGTTTCCACGGAGGATCGAATAAAACGAATCTTATGAAATCCAAGTCATCGACTGGAACTGATCGATTTCCCCCGGTGAAAGTTTTGCGAAAAAAAGGAATGCGATTTACGAAAGGGAAGCAGGTATTATATACCATTTATACGAGTAACGGGCCAGGCCGCTCTTAATATTATCCATCCATTATTCATCCTGGATCAAGGTCGGTATCTTTCGAAATCGTATTCCACGATTCAGATTCAAATGCTGTTAGATCCCGCTGTAGATCCGGCGAACCATCCCGCGGCCCATTGTATTTATTGGCATTGTGCATACCTACTGTACCTTTCGAATCGAGATCCCGCGGAAGAGCTTCCGGCGAAAGTACTCGGCATCCTCTTGTTTCTCTCCCGATACCGCGAATGGCAACAAAATCGTGTGAACGCGTATGTATTCTCTCTCGAAGAAATATCTATTTCTCTTCGAGATTTGTACAAGTCCCACGGAAGTATCAAATAAATTTAGACGTTGGCAAGGCGAGTTTAATACATGTGTGAATAATAAGGTCACGAATGCTAATGACCCTTCATCGAAAGAATTTTATGCTGTTTCTCTTGCCGATCTTTCGAGATACTATTTTCAAGAGAGAAAGAACGATAGATGAGTTTGGATAAATAGAAATATGTTTCCTCGAGAAGGAATTGCGATCGAGCGTATATTAAAGGAGGAGGATCTTCTTTAGCCCGGGCGTATTTGTATTTTGAGGGCACAAAAGACGCGAAAGGGGATGATACGAGATCGAAGCGCGGAATATAACGCGGGGGTGGGCGCGCTCTCCGAGTATAAGGGTGGCCGGGAACAGAGAACGGTGGGGTGTCCCTCCCTTCTCGCTCTCGGACTGTCTCTCTTTCTCCGACCGATGGAAGGGTACCGGGCTCGGGTTTCAACCATGATTTCCATTCGCCAGCCATCCATCTTGTTTGAGACTGGAAACTGACAGATAGACGCGGATCCGAGTGCCGGTGACGTGGCAAGTCTTGCGCGTAGTCGTGCATGCACGTGTTGGTGCAAGCGCGTGTACACTACGTTTCACAAGTATTTCGGTCGCTAACAAGTTTTCGAATTCCTACGATAAACACGTTTCAGATGCGAAGGTAAAAGGCTAAGATTACACGGAAGAAATTTGCATTCCGGCGTAGCGAGCTTCCAATTCGATTTATGCTTAGCCAGTTCCGTTACGGTCCGCGCGGTTCTAACTTTCTGTTGACCAGGCAAATATTTATGAACGATAGTGTAGAAGCAAGTGTACGCGTCCAGTCCGCATCCGCGTGAAAAATTCATTTTCGACGACATTAGCGAGGGCAAGAAATTGCTTCTCTTTTCTATCGAACGCTGTCTCGGCATTCGACGTGCGCGTTCGACGCGATTCTCGAGAAATTTGTCGTAGCAGGGCCACAGAAAGAATGCAGATTAAAATTTTCAATTTTTTAATCTCAACTTATAAAATATAACTTTAATTTATAAAATATGTACATTTTAATATCACTTGCAGTTACGTCAATTAAGATAAAATCAGAAGCGTAACCATTGTCCATAATCTTTATATCGTATGCCGTGCGTCATCATTCTGTTCTCCCTAAGTAATCGTTCTTAAATTTATCGATAGCGTAGTTATAGTTCGGTTTTGGCCTAAGTAGCCTAAAGGGTGCACGTTTAAAGCTGTTATCGTGTCGTGAAACTATCCCCGCGAATTATACAAATAGGGAGAAAAATAATTTAAAACTAGGACGGAGTTCATAAATAGTTTTACAAATTCGTATATTCCGAAGATATGTCCGGAAAATTTAGGGCAATCACACTGTTCATAATTTCATTGAGGGTGCTGTGCATCGAATGCGGCATCGATTGCGGCGACGATTGAGACGACGATTGCGGTTCACAGGCGTTTTCATTTTTCAAAGTGTTCAATTCAGCGATTAGTTCCGAATTGTCTTGAGCATTATTTTCTGTATTCATTTGGGCCGGTTGATGACTCGCGTAGGAACCGTTCCACTGTTGCTCGTAAGGAACGTTGTACGACTGATAAACGAATTGCGGATAATGGTATTGCTGTTGTGTGTAATGGTTGTTCACAGTCTGCATGTGTCCCTGGTACTGTGAACAGGCTCCTTGCATCATCGGCATTCCCAAGTAGTTCTGTTGAATCGGATCCGTCGCTGACAACGAATTGACATAATAATTCTGTCCTCCGTATTGGTCGACGCTGGATCCGTTCGAAGCGATCGTTTGACTGGCATTTTGAATATTATTCGCATAACCATACGAATACGGTATGTTGTTCGAATTTTGGTTTCTGAACGTGTTTGTTGTGGAGACGCTGCAGTTCTCTTCTGGAGAACTGGAAATAACTGTTTCCTCCTTTTTCTTTATGTTTTTATTACAGATATTACTCGCTTGCATTTGTTCTTTCTTCATTTTCATACGGCGGTTCTGAAACCATATTTTTATTTGACGTTCCGTCAGATTTAGCGTCATTGTCATTTGTATTCTTCTCGGTCTGCATAGATATCGCGTTGAAGCAAATTCCTTTTCTAACTCAATTAGTTGGAAGTTTGAGTATGCTGTTCGCGTCCTCTTAACTTTCGTATTCCCCATTGAGCCTGAAACAAAAATTACGCGTTCCGTTTAGAAAATTAATTTATTAAATGCATCTGGAGCGAGGAGAATTTTTGACGAACGTCTCGATATTCGACATAAATTAGTTAGACGCGATTTTCATCTGGAAAGCGCGGAGAGTCGCGTGGAGGGCTCGACTAGGTGAGGCAAGGTGTCAAGGGTCGCGCAGTGGGGAAACTTGTTTGACTCACGAGGTGGCCTACGGTCCTGCTGCGCGGCTCAATGCCCGAGCTACTAAAGCCGTGTTATTGGATTAAATGATCTCGACGCATGAATTTACAAGCAAATACGATTCGTTAGCGACGACGCTTAAGGATGTATAGGCTAT